ATTTCGTCCTTTGGTTTGCATAAGGTTGATTGAAGTGAGCTTTTAGGTTTGTGTGTTACACTTATTCCAAATGCCTTCAATAATCGTGGTTTAATTTCTGATGTCTTTTATATATGGAAGGATGACCCTCTTTTTCTTGTTTTTATACTTGATTTCGTTTCTGTTGATGAGCTGGATTGATATTTCTTAATAAATTTGCATGAGTATTCGTTACTCTGAAGGATAGTTACTAGACACTTTTTTTATTCTTTGGTGCTGCATTTGTGCTGTAGTGGGTTCTCGCCCTCTTGAATAAAATTTGTACGCAGTCGATTTCATGAATAATTGGACTGTTTCTGAATTCGATCTGTATAGGTTGACTTATTGATTTGAATGTCCATAACATTATCCCAGAATTGTATGAGAGATTTAATCGAATGGTTGAATGAATTCACTAAATATTTCAAAAATCTTGTCATTTCTCTGGACAAATTGTAGAACCCAGGACGTGCGTTTCGTCTTATTTAGGACTCGTCAGCTAGATGTATCTGCATCTTAGAGTTGATGTTCACTAAAGGACTCTAGCATTTAAAAATATCACATGTAAATCGTGAATATTAAATTAAGATTCAAAATTATCTTTCAAATATTATATAGAGAAATTTGACTAATTAAAGAATAAAAGATAAAAGGAATTTCACTAAATATAAGAACATTGACAAAAAATAACAAGTGAAAACAAAAGAAAAAAAAGAGTCGATCAAGTTTCTTTCATTTTTGTTATTCTCGGTTATTTCACTTGTTATTTTTTTCCTTTTATTCTGAATTCGTTTTAGAAACAAAACAACCTGTTCTCATTGTTTCCCTACATGTGTATGTGTATTATGTGTATAGGTATATATGTGTATGTGTGTGTGTGCATTTGCAAGAGACACTCACACACACATATACACATATAAGTATCAATGATGTCATACATTGAATATTGTCAATAAATAACTACTAACTTATAAATTTTTTTTAGAAAAAAACTTGAAACTATTACAATGTTTATTTAACACAGATCAGTCAGTCAGTAACAACGTAGAACTTCGTACGTACATCAGTTCAAGTTGCCACACCACATTAGCACAGAGATGCAGTTGTCGATTCAAATCTCGTAGTGGTAGAGGCGGTAAGAGTATAAGCAGTAATCGGAAAGATTAGGGCTTGAAGATGTTATTCAAGGAGTATAATCCAGTGAAACAAACTTGGAAAGAGGAAAAAAAGACAAGGAAAGTTCAGGAGATTAGAACTTGGGAGAACACAAAGAGTGGATGCACCTGCGCCATTGCAAACGATTTTGAGCCATATCATTCAGAGTCACTAACTAACGGTTACCATCATCTCACGGTTCCCAACCAGATAGTCTACACCTACCAACATGGCTCAGTCTACTTGTCAGTGACTTCATGGACTTGTGCCATTTTTTAGTCTGGCCGCCCCTAGCTTTCTTCCAATCTACTCCTATACCACGTCGAGGCAGTCAGTGGTTGGGCATACGTAACGCGTGTCCCAGCCATTTCAACTGATGAAGTTTCACTACTTCATCAATTGGTTTGCCATACTTACCTAGTACCCGTTTCCTAACAACTGCGTTACTTACTCGATGGTCCCAAGATATACGAACAACGTTTCGAAGACACCTATGATCAAATACTAGTAACCTACGAATATCCTCTACTCTTACCGGCCATGTTTCACTGCCATAAAGTAGGACGGAACGAACTGCTGCTCAGTAAGCACGTCCTTTGGTTGATAGACGGATATCTCGCCTACGCCATAAATGACGCAAGTTGGCAAAATCTGGTCCAGCCTTCTGCATACGTGCTGAGATTTCGTCACACACCAGACCACAAGGGCTGATGAGACTTCCAAGATAAGTGAAGCGATCGACACGCTCAATTACTTCACTCCCTATCATTAGTTCGGGTGTCGATGCAACCCAACCCTGAAGCGAAATTTTGCATTTCGAGAAGGAGAATCGCATCCCAAACATGCTTGCATGTCATTATATGTATATGATAATTGAATTCATGAGTTAATTGAAGCTAGACTACCATGAAAAACGTGAAAGCACTGGATGGCCGTTTCGTCCTAGTATAAGATTCCTCAATAGTGCATATTACACAAGTTAAAATGATTTTTTGTTAAGTATCTCCATTATCTACTTTTATATCTCACAATCATAAAATAAATGTAATAGAATACTTGAGAAATATAAAACTCACACTCTTACATATACATTAAACTAATGTAAAATGTAATAAATTTTGGGTGGTTTGAAAAAGTAGATTTTTTAATGCTTTGTATGTGGAGAGAAACGCTAATAAATAAGGACCCTGTTTATGTTATAAGAAGTTAATTAATTGAATCACTTATCAGTTGCAGTCTTAAACCTCAATGGGAAGATACAAGCAAAACAATACCAAGTGAATGTAAATTAATTCACCCCATTGCACAGGCAAGTGGCTATCAGGACACAGTAGCTGACTGGATAACGTGATGGCGTTTGAAGCGAATGGTACTGGGTTCGAGTCCCAGAGTGAACGTCAACTCATGCAGGTACATCCAGCTGGTGAGTCCCAAATAGGACGAAACGCGCGTCCTAGATTCCACTGCTAGCCACTATCCATGTTTGCTTAATTGAATCACTGTTTAAATTACAATTTTCAAGAGTATACTCACATACATACACACACACTGTATTACTTGACTAACTTTCACGCCTTAACGCCTAACCAGATTTCATTTTTGGATAAATTATTAGTGAAAACAAAATGAAGTCATTTAGTATCATTCATTTTCTTGTATAAAATCTTAATCATTGTTTTGTTTTTGGATAACAGTCAATTCTCCTGTTTATATACTGAAGAAAATATCTACTTAGATAAATTTATACTACTTTTTCTTCATGAAACAAATTACAATTAAATGAAAGAAAGTCTGTTATATTTAGAGCGTAGATTCCTAATATACCACGTATAACTTGAGCATTCGAACTCTAGAACCCTCCCGCATATAAGACAGAAGACAAGTGAATAAGATACTATTCCAAACACTGTCAATTATGGTACAAAACTCCCAGATATTTATAGTTTTTAGTAACAATGAAATCATCATTGTAATCCTCCAATCCGCATACAAAGGGTTATTAGCATTTGTCCAGTAGGGAAGCTAGACGTAGGGAATCTGGAATATTCTTCCAAAAGATGATTGGATGGAATATCTTCGGTTCTTTCTGAGCTTCTTAGGACTTCTTCGAGTTCACTCGGGGATCGCCGTTACAGTGTCATTTTCTCTTGGAGTTTTTTCCATCCATCTCTTTCTTCAACCGAATGAAATGCAAGCAATTTTTTGAAAAACTAACAACTGAAATTATGCTTCTTGAAAGAAATACGGGTGGAACTCTGTTCTTTTCTGTCCACAATTTTATTTAATAGTGATCGTTAAATTGTTGTAGAAATACATTTACTTTTAAATAGAATGGAATCCAGAATGCATGTTTTATCCTATATGGAACCTATTGGCTGGATATATCTGTATCCATATTGATATCCATATTAGAGACTTGAATCCTGCACCTCTCAATTCAAGTGTCAGTGAATTATGCCCTAAATCAATAGGTTCAGATAGCAGCAAATTTATTCAACAGGTACGAAACGAACAAAGACTGATCAAAATTCAGTCCTAAATATTACCAATGGAATAACCAAAATCGTCCATTTGTCAAAATGATAATTTTCTTCAAAGCATCTAGAAGTAGGCTGGGATATTCATTGTCTTGAATGTTTATTTGTTAACCAAAAAATAAGCCCATAATCACCTTATTTCCGTTAAATGTTTCAGCGCTGAACAGTTTTATTTACTGAATATCTATTCATAGGGTCAGTTGATTATCGATGTTGCCATCCAAAATTTATTCCTTTAGGATTCAGACGTTTCTCCTTGTAATCAATCTCGTGAATGTAACCACCCTAAACAGTTGACTAATTTCATAAAATCTATTTGACGTCTCATAAGCAATTCAACAAATTAGATAGTTCAAGAATACTATGTTTAAATTTTTCAAGTATAGTCAGTCTATATTGCTTATAAATTGTCTACATTAATTGAATAAACTTGAATGCTTTTTACAAATATGGTAGTTGAAATAAAATTGACAGAAAACCCTGTACCTACGTTTTGTGCTAGTTAAAGAAGAGTATCTGCCATCTCAGAGGAAATGATTTATTTATTTATTTATTTGAACACAAATATTGGTAAAAAGGGAAACCGTATGCACACGCACCACACAAGTCACTTGATTTGTGTGTGGGTTGTAATACTACCCGGGTGCCCAAAACAAAGCAGGTGGTTTTCTTGGGGGGGCCAATCCTCAAACCTTTGACCTACAGGTGTAATCCACAAGGCAGTGGAGCTGGTGACCAATAATTGGTTCATAAGTCATTTGTTCCCTGGAAATCCTGGAGCCCATGTGCACCATTGATTTGGAATGAGGATTTTCCAACTCCCCTAGGCAGATCCTCCGTGTCCACCAACCTGGTTAAAGCACCGAACATTCGCTTACCTTTCTTTTCAATTTCGTAAACAACACGGCTGCGAGAAGGCAGTGAGTAGGACTTCCCTGGTAGTGGCTGCATACGCATGGCCACGCGAGAACATTTGGAAAATTTAAATCTGTTCCGTCCAGACATTACCATTGAGAAATCCAAACCATGAATAACCTCGTGCAGGGCACTGATTGATCCCTGAGTATACAGTAAAGTCGTGTTTGCCTAGACTTTAATGTAGACTGAATTTTATCTTTTGAGCTCTAAAGTATTCAGTCATTTAAGTGATTCAATACTGTATGCACAAATGTTTAAATAGTTGAGGATTTCGATAACCATCTTTAAATTTTCCTTTGATCAACTAGAATTATTTCTAAATCACTAATTTTCTAATTAACGATTACTCTGTATTGCTGTTTTATTTTTCAGAGTCATTATCAACTATCAACTAATGAATACGTTTACATTACAAAAATTATCTCTTGTTATTTTAACAACTTTCTATTTATCACTACCATGGATAATATCCATAGTGAATACGTTGCCAACAACAAATAATAACGATCCAAATATTTTGTATCGTTTAACACCATCATCATCATCAGCAGCAGCAGGAGCAGCAGCATCATTATCACATCAAAATGGAGGAGGAGAAAGAATTTATCTACCGGAAGAACTTCTTGCACAACTATCAAATGAACCATATATCAATTCACTGTATTTACCAAAACGTGCTGCTTACATGGATTTACCATGGGGTAAACGTGCTTTAGCTAAACGTGCAGCTTATATTGATTTACCATGGGGTTAATTGTGAAATTGACTTACCATTTATATCCAATTACATACATATATACTTTAATAATGCATACTAAAATATTCATTGAGAACAATCTATCCATCAGTCATTATAACTAATCATTGATAGACTAAAGGTGAAATGTGAGATTATTGGAAAATTAAAACTGTCGTTTTAAAAATCGATATTTCATAATTTGTTTGTTCTATGAAAACTTTATACTTTCAACAACAACAAAAAAGAATCTACTGAAACAATCTTTCCTAGTGTTCATTTTAAACAATGAATTAGTTCTTCAATCAAATAATTATTATGTCCTTCATCTGCCTTTTTGTTCAAGAGTTCTGACATGGAATTAATATTTTTTGTTAATCAGAAAGGGGGTTTTGTGGAGATTGTAGTCATTTAATAGTTGAATTCATGAGTTGAATAAAGCTAGATTACTATAGAAAACCTGGAAGCACCGAACGGCCATGCTTACTAGTGATTGACTTCAAGAGGTAGTTTTTGAAGTTCTAGTGAGAAGCCGTGACCAGTGGAGTTTAACGAGGTCTGTTATGAGGCAGTTATTCACTGAAGACAATGGTGGATAGTGATGCAAGTTCGTGGATTGGTTGAAGTTAGATATTAACACCAATGGGTGCCGGCCAGCTCAGTGGTCTAGATGTTAAGCATTCTTCAGTTTCCACTTCGTATATATTCTTAGGTTAATCTTTGATGTAGAAATACATGAATTTTCACTCGCGAAATCCAAAGACAATTCACGAAGTATACTAGAATCGATTTACTGTAAACATATTAAAGTCGACAGATCACAAATTTAGCAATCAGGTCACTTAATGGAAGATAATGTGAAGAACGTCATTTAAACATAAATCCTAGTGTATATACAAATCACTGACTGACTGTATTTATAGCCAATAAAAGAATATATATAAAAATGGATGATAAACATGTACATTGTCATCCGCATATAAGCCTATACATAGGTGTCTAGACGTCTACATTATAATAAAGTGATTAGTGGGAATACACAGATATTTATTTATTTGTAACAGGATGGTTTGTATGTGTACATAGTTCAAAGGGCTTCCTACATAGTCACGGTAGAAATAGCTTAGTAATAACATCCAAGGTGTGAAGTTTGGTGACCTAGAATTAAATTCCACGATGATCATCGGCTTCCTTAGGATTTAAGATAAACCTTATTGAAGTATATTAAGTAGCACAAAGCCTAGGTCCACAGTTTTCTAATGACTAATTTAAACTATCGTACATGATTATGTTGATTCTAGATCAGATACTAACAGATTTTGGTCCTTTGGTAATGAAATACTCAAATACAAAATAAAATGAATTTATCGTAATAGTTATTTCATACTGAGGTTTGGTATAATCTGAGTAACACATAAATTATATATATGTATATATACTTCTGATCACATTGTGATGGAACACCACAACCGACAAAACTGATCATGATCAAATAACCGATATTGCCAACAGCTTCAATGATGTAGTTATAATGACTTCAATCAACTATTGTTTGATTCTTTTCCAATTATTTCTTACGACTAAAAATGACAGCATATTTCCTGAGTAGCAGTTTTACTTGCTGAAATAGCAATCAAAATTACTGAAATATTCCTAAATTGCCCTCATTTATTAGTAGTAACGTTGAGAACATCTTTAAAACAGTGCTTATGTAATAATATACCACTAGGAAATTCTTTTAGTAGGTTGAATTTAATTCATATATGGTCGTTTTCTCGTACAGAAATCTTTAAATTTTCACAAACGAATCTGTAGATCCTATCTTTGTACTCACCAAAAGGAAGATACTTTTAGTTGTTATGGTGTTTTGACCTTATTTTCAGTTCTTTCCCAAAGTAGTCGATGTGCTTCAGAATATCTTCAGTCTATAAAAAGTGCTAAATTCTCTGTTGAATCATTTCTGGATGAAAATCACCAATCAGTTGAGGAAAGGCATATATAGTAACTGTTTGCTATAAGAGATAGGATATAACAGATTATGCATTATCTTCTGTAGCTAATAAGTATTTGTCACGACTCGTTCTTCTATTGAATTAACTCAAAAAGTAGAACATTTTGCTGGTTTTTGGAACTTTTCAATGCTGAAAACAATCCCTAACTTGAAAAAAACTAATATATCTAGGGATCCTATTGCCGTTCAAACAATAACGATTGAGTCCGATAATCTATCTCATTAGCCAAGAAAAAAACTTTTAAGGTTTTTTTCAAAAATGTGAAACTAGATCAAGCATTTGAAAGCACTTAAGGAGTAAATTCATTAATAGAATGAAAACAGTCTTTCAACTTGAATGACATTCAACCGAGTGAATACTGAAATACTATCGAGCTGGACAATCAAATCTTTCATACTTTCTGTGTTACTTTTCATAATACTACAGTTTTAATCCTTTAGCACTACTAATAGAAACTTTCAGTGATCATCGTTCTACAATATAGTCCCATTATGTTGATAACTACTTACGTTGACGCTATTTAACTTGTAGTGGCTGTGCTTCGTTAATTAATCACCCTCGAACCGTTATCGTATAATCTTCAACGGTGTTTGAGATCAGAAGGCAAAAAGAAGCAGCTACTACAGTTTATTTAGTAGATAATTCGGACCAGACAGCAGAGGGGCAAAATGAATGAGCAAGCGAACTACGATTGTAGCAGTAGCAAGTAGTTGTAGTAGTAGTGGTAGTGAATGGGTGCGAATGTACATATATATATATATATATATATATATAGGAAAATGGATGAGTCAGCGAATAGATTAAGCAGTTAATAATGAAGCTAGCAGAATGAATACATGCGTAGGCGCTAAACAATGTTCAAGCATATGTATTTCATACAAGCATAATAATAAAGATAGTAAAAGTTGTTATATCATGGATGACTTTGTCCATTAAATAGGTCAACAAAAGACCTTGATTGAACTGAACTCGATTGCACGTGAGTCACTATAATAGCTCCCCCCTGCAAACAAAGATATATGGAAAAATGTCTGTGTTTGCACAAAAAAATAGTAAACTGAATAGGGTAGTTACAATCGTTTGAAAAAAAATGGTTTGTACAAAATTAAGATGAAGTTAGTTTGTGCTGTACATTTGGTTTGTGCCCATCCGTGAGGTCATATAAAATAATAGCAATAAATAGAAGGAATGCGGTATTGCTTTACATTTTAAATAAAAATTATACGTGTAAGTGTAGGGGTACATAAGATTCGTTGAGTTTTATAGCGTATAACATGAAATCAGTAATGCATGTGTATACAATGTAGTGGAAGTTATAATTAATATTTTAAAATGGTAGAAAATTATTAATAGAAGATTGCAGCGACATAACGTTGGGGCCATCTTACTCTTCGACCAGACTTTGTGGTTACTGGATTCTCTTCGCTTGTGTTCGTCGATGTCGTTGATGATTGGAACTGACGTTTCGATGATTCAGCGGTTTTCGCAGTATCTGTATGTACTGGCTGATCGTAGGCTTCGATGAAAGCTGATTCGACTCGGTCGATGCTGATTACATCCGTTTTTCCAGCTTTTTCTACCGTAATAGTTTTGTCGTCTCTTTTAATCACCTTAAATGGACCATCGTAGGCCGGTTGTAAGGGACGTTGCACATTATCCCTTCTGATAAACACATGGGTACTGTCACTTAGTTGTTTGGGTATGTACACACGGCGTTGATGTTGTCTCGGAAGCGTTATCCTTAGACTACTCATATGCTGCTTAAGACGCTGTACATAGTCCGCTATATCAGTTGGAACGCTTTCACCTGCAGTGAAAAACTCTCCTGGCAGACGTAGTGTGGTTCCATAAACCAATTCTGCTGGGCAGCATTCTATATCTTGTTTGATTGTTGATCTTCAGCTCAACATGACTAACGGTAGCTTGCTGGCCCAATCATTATTACTGATGACAGCTGTAAGAGAAGCTTTAAGTTGCCGATGCAATCTCTCTACCATACCATTCGACATCGGATGGTAGGATGTTGTGCGAATTCGTTTGATTCCGAGTAGTTCTGTGAGTTGTTGGAAGAGGCGGCTCTCGAATTGAGCTCCTCTATCGGTTGTAATATTAGTAGGTACGCCATAATGGGAAATCCAATGCTCTACTAGGGTTTTTGCGATAGTTTCGGCTGTAATATCTTTTATGGGCACAGCTACAGGCCATCGTGTGAATCTATCAATGCAAGTGAAAATGTAACTGAAGCCATTCGAAACCGGCAGTGGTCCTATAATATCGATATGTACGTGCTGGAATCTGTTATCGGGATGACGGAAATGACCTACTGCGGAACTGGTGTGGCGATGTATCTTAACTCTCTGGCATTTTATACACGCTTGCGTCCAATTACGAATATCCCGATTCATACTTGGCCATACAAAACGTTCGCTGATTAGTTTGATGGTGGCCTTTATTCCGGGATGCGAAATATTGTGCATGGCTTCGAAAATGTTTCGCCTTAGCGGCTTTGGAATAAATGGTCTTGGTTGACCTGTAGAAATATCGCAGATGATGCTTACTTCTTCCAATGAAGTTTCTTTGAGAACTAACGAGGTTGTGTTGGCAGACTTTAGTCTGTCTAACTCGACGTCAATATTTTGTAATGCTGCTAACTTGTGATAATCGGTTTCGGACTGGATGAGAGCGTTGACCATCGTTCTGGATAACGCGTCTGCCACTTCGTTACTATTACCTTTGATATACTGTATGTTGGACGTGAATTGGGAAATAAATTCTAATTGTCGGATTTCCTTCGGCGAGTAGTTGTCCTGTTTGGCGTTCAATGCTTTTGTGAGGGGTTTATGGTCTGTATATATTGTGAAAATGGTACCCTCGATCATATGTCGGAAATGTTTTATTGCCAAGTAAATCGCTAGGAGTTCTCTTCCGAAAGTACTATATCTTGTTTGTGTCGGATTCAGTCTTTTCGAAAAAAATGAGAGCGGTTCCCATATGCCATTTACTAAGTGTTGTAAAACGGCCCCTACCGCTACATCTGATGCATCCGTCATGATAGCTAACGGTGTTTCGCTCTTTCGTCTAGTTAGTGTCACTTCTTTATTTAGTGCTTTTTTAGCGTTCTCGAATGCTTGAATCGCGTCTGGTGATAATTGGAATGTCCGTGCGTTTCCGCGTAATGCATCTGTTAGTGGTTGCAATATTGACGCGCAATTCGGGATAAATCGTCTGTAATAATTTATTAACCCGAGAAATCGGCGTAACTTTTTCCATGAGTCGGGTAGGGGATAATTCCTAATGGCGTCGACTTCTGTTGC